CATGGTCCTTCCACTCTGGACTGGGCCTGATGGAGACTTGGAACAGTTACCCAACTCCAGTGACCCATGTCTTTGTTCACCTTGATTTGCCATTATGCAATGTAGCATTTCCGTGTGCAGCTGATCTCCTCTCTTTTGTGCATTTCTGTCTCCCAAAACTTTCTAATATGGTATTAGAATTCTAGCTGTGTATGCAGTAGGCAAACTAGAGACCACATTTCCCAGCCTGTCATATAACAAAGTCTTTGCCAACAGAATATGAGCAAAAGAGGGACTGGAATGCAGACTTGATGGAGACTTCTTTTGACCATGCAGACTAGGGCGATTCTCTTTTTTTTTTTTTTATAAATTAATTTTTATTGGTGTTCAATTTACCAACATACAGAATAACACCCAGTGCTCATCCCGTCAAGTGTCCCCCTAGGGCGATTCTCAATGGCACCGCAGATGGAAGGAGCCTGGGGTCCTGAGTGATACTGATGAGCAACTGCCCGGCCAGCCAGGGCCACCTTTGCCATATTAGCCCTGCCTGCTCATGCTGAGGGTCCTATTTTTGAGAGATGCAAACTTCTGCCTTATTTAATTCACTGCATTTGTGATTGTCTTTATTACAGCAGCTTACATTAGACCCTGATGAGTATATGTCTGTGGATGTTGCCTTCGGCTTCCATACTGATTTCTGGCTAAATGTATTAGTTAGATACATGTTTGGCTGCTAAAACTCGGGCTAAAATAACAGTGGCTTAAATGGGCTGAGCTTAAACCATCCAGGGCAGTTATGATAGCCCTGCAGGATTAGGGAGCGGGGCTTCTTTAATTTTGTTTGTCATCATCAACATGTGACTTCCATCTTGTGGTCTAGGGTGACTATTTTGTCTTCCACCAGTGTCTCTGCATTCCAGCCAGTGGGAAGGGGAGAAGAAAAATTGAGGAGCACACCCCTTTAAGAGCATACCCCATGGGCCCAGTGGAAAACTTGGAAGTTTTATTTATTTTTATTATTTTTTAAAGAGTTTATTTATAAAAAAAAAAGAGTTTATTTATTTTATTCATGAGAAACACACAGAGGGAGGTAGAGACATAGGCAGAGGGAGAAGCAGGCTCCCTTGGGGGAACCTGATGTAGGACTCAGTCCCAGGACAGGATCATGACCTGAGCCAAAGGCAGATGTTCAACCAGTAAGCCACCCAGGCATCTCAACTTGGAAGTTTTAATACTTAAGGAAGAAGGGGGAATGGATTCTGACAGACTGCTAAGTTTTCTAACTCGACAAATGCTGGGAGAAACTCACGAAAGAAAGTCACCCCCTCTTTTAATGATGGCTTTTACATATGTACTGGGCGTATATATGAATGTGCTTGGGCTGCCATAACAAAACACCTGGACTGGGTGGCTTAAACAACAGAAATGTGTTATCTTACAGTTCTGGGGGCTGGATGTCTGAGATCAGGGTGCCAGCATGGTTGGTTTCTGGGGAGGACTTTCTTCCTGGCTTACAGATACCATCCTCACCTGGGCTTTCCTCTATGATGCACAGGGATGGGGATAGGAGGGAGGTGTGTTGGGGAGGGAGAGAGACAGAGAGAGAGAGAGAGTGTGTGTGTGTGCACAGGCAAGCGTGTTCTGCTGTCTTTTATGGACACTTATCCTATTGGATCAACGCCCCACTCTTATGACCTCATTTAACCTTAATTACCTCTTAATATGCCCTATCATCTTCAAATACAGTCACATTGGGGGTTAGGGCTTCGGTATGTGAATTTTGGGGTGATACAATTTAGTTTGTAGCAGTGATCTAAAGAAGGGCTTTAAAACTTAGTGGTTTAAGTATTTAGCCAGGCAAAGATTCATTATGTTCTGATGACAACTCCCAAATCTTGGTTGCCATAGGTGTTTTTCAAAATATGGGCAGAAATCTCTCCTATTCTAGTGTGGATGCCTCTTTGCAGTATGACTTTGCCAGTCTTCCCATCGTGAGGTTGGGTTTCCCCCACCCTTAAGTCTGGGCGGCCCTTTGATTTGCTGTCACCAATAGAACATGATGGAAGTGATGTTATGTGATTTCTGAAGATAGGCCTCAAGAGACCATGCAGCTTTGCTTTGGATCTCTTAGATTGCTTTCCTGAGGCTGCTTATGCAAGGCTAGGGATGAAAGACCACGGGACAGAGAACTCCCGGTGTCTGACTTCTCCTGCTGAACTCAGCCCTCAGCTGAGTGCAGCTGCCTGAGTGAGCCCAGGCAAGAGCAGCAGCAGAACCACCAGGCTAATGCATGAGAAGGAATAAATCATTTTTTAAATCTTCTATATTTTGGGTGGCATTTACTTTTTTCCAACAGCAGTGGTAATGTAATAGATTAAAACAAAGATTTCTGGTTCTTTTTTCCTCGTTCATATTACATACATATCTTGTGAGGATCAGCAGAGGTTCTGCTTTTGGTGTCTCTCAGGAATGTAAGACGATGGAGCAGCCAGCATCTCGAATGTCGCCATACTGGGGGAAGAGCATGGTGAGGACTGCACTGGCTCATGAAGCTTCCATCTGGAAACAGTACATGTCACTTACATTTCATTGGCCAGTACAAGTAGATAAGGAAGCTCAATCTTACTATGTGACCAAAGGGAGACAAAGCCAGAATATTTGTGAACATCCTTAATATCCACCACCCTTAAGAGTTTCTCTCTGGTAACAATCTGAGTAGGTAGACAGGGCTGATATGGCATCAACAGTGTCAGGGATCCAGGCTCCTCTCTCTGCTTGCTCTGTCATCCTCAGGATGTTGCTTTTGAATTACCATCAGATTTCTATTTTAGCCCATGGAAAGGGGAGGACACATTTAATTTTGGAATACATGTAACTTGGAAGTTACATGTATCAGTTCTACTCAATTCCTATTGGCCAGAACCAAGTCACCCATTATTTAGCTGCAAGGATAGCTGGGAAATGTAGTCTTTAGCTGGTGTGTCTCACTAAACATCTTTCTGTAGGAGGGAGAGAGCACAGATACTAGGTGCCGGGAAGGCACCAGCAACTCTGCCACAACAGCACCTCTGGGACCCCCAACACCAAGGGTGTCATGGTCTTCCTGCATTGTCAGTTTCATCCAAGGTGGGCACACTTTGCATATGTGTTATTAAGAAGTTATTCATAATTTGAAAGAGTTTTCACAAACTTAAATGATCACAAATCAAAACCGTGATGAAATACCACTTCACGCTGCTCAGAATGATTAAGATAACAAGCCAGGAAACAACAGATGTTGGTGAGGTTGCAGAGAAAGGGGAGCCCTCATACACGATTAGTGGGAATGCAAGCTGATGCAGCCACTCTGGAACACAGTATGGAGGTTCCTTGAAAAGTTGAAAATAGAGCTACCCTATGACCCAGCAATTGCACCACTGGGGATTTATCCCAAAGATAGAAATGTAGTGATCTGAAGGGTCACCTGTACTCCAATGTTTATAGCAGCAATGTCCACAGTAGCCAAACTATGGAAAGAGCCCAGATGTCCATTGACCGATGAATGGATAAAGATGTGGTTTAAATATACAATGGAATATTACTCAGCCATCAAAAAATGAATTCTTGCTATTTGCCATGATGTAGATGGAACTGAGGGTATTATGCTAAGTAAGATAAGTCAATCAGAGAAAGACAATTATCATGATTTTGCTCATATGTGGAATTTAAGAAACAAAACAGAGGAGCATAGGGGAAGGGAGGGAAAAATAAAACAAGATGAAATCAGAGAGGGAGACAAACCATAAAAGGCTCTTAATCATAGGAAACAAACTGAGGGTTGCTGGAGGGATGGTGGTGGGGGCATAGGGTAACTGGGTGATAGGCATTAAGAAGGGCACTTGATGAGCACTGGGTGTTTTTTTTTTTTTTTTTTTTATTTATGATAGAGAGAGAGAGAGAGGCGCAGAGACATAGACAGAGGGAGAAGCAGGCTCCATGCACCGGGAGCCCGATGTGGGATTCGATCCCGGGTCTCCAGGATCGCGCCCTGGGCCAAAGGCAGGTGCCAAACCGCTGCGCCACCCAGGGATCCCAGCACTGGGTGTTATATAAGACTGATTAATCATTGAACTGTACCTCTGAAACTAATAATACAGTATATGTCAATTAATTGAATTAAAATTAAAAAAAGAAGGAAAAAAAAGGCACATCCAAAATCCAAAAATACTTTTGTTCCTTTGGGTAAACCAATCCCAGACTTATTTATTTTATGGGCCGGGAATTTTTCTACCGGACTTTCCACAAAAGTGTTTTAAACATTTTCCAGACTCCAAAACTAAGTGTTGATTTCGTTTTTGTCTTTAGATTCTTTCTGGGGGGGATCCCTGGGTGGCGCAGCGGTTTGGCGCCTGCCTTTGGCCCAGGGCACGATCCTGGAGACCCGGGATCGAATCCCACGTCGGGCTCCCGGTGCATGGAGCCTGCTTCTCCCTCTGCCTGTGTCTCAGCTTCTCTCTCTCTCTCTCTGTGTGTGACTATCATAAATAAATTAAAAAAAAAAAAAGATTCTTTCTGGGGAAGGGTTGCAAAGAAAAAAAAGATTGTGATTTTTCCTATTTAGCAAGAATTCCTAAGAAAATTAGCCCCAATCTCTTGGAGGTTTATGTTCAAGAAGACAATACTATCCCAGGTTCTCAGTAAATAAAGTTCACTTGGCAACACCTAAGAGAAAACTGAAACTTTACTTAAATAAATGATTTTGCAATATCTTGGATGGTTTTGGGTTTGTGTGCTTTAGACTATACATGCAAGATCATGTGTGTGTGTGTGTGTGTGTGTGTGTGTGTGTGTGTGTGTAGGGGGGTAGAGACTGAGAGCAGTATGGAAAGCCTATGGTACAGAGCAACTGACTAGGATATGTGGGGTTAGAGAGCTGGACAAGGGCTTCATCCTCTCAGCTCAGCCCCCAGTCCCTGATTATTTTTTTCCTGCCAAGAGCACATCCCCCCTGCGGCTCCCTAGTTTTTCTTCTCTGGCAGCAAATGAAGCAGCTGCTGAGTCAGCTCTGGGTTTCGGGAAGTCAGATGACCTTTTCCCTCTGCCGGCTTTCTGCCTCTCTCTGCCCCAAGGTGGATACCATGGACCCAGTGATGGCTCTCCTTTGCCTGTTGCCCTTATACCCAGGTAGGAGCAGGGGAGAGGGATGCTGGAGTCCTGTGGAAAAGGCCTGTACTGCCCACCTTGGGTTCCCTCTTGTAAATGCCAATTTCTCTGGCTTTTCTGTTCTCATCTTTTCTCCACTACTGTGTTGTGTGTCATGCTCACAGGCTTGGCTGCAGCCGCTCCCTCCTGCCCTCAGAACGTGAATATCTCCGGTGGCACTTTTACCCTCAGCCATGGCTGGGCCCCTGGGAGTGTCCTCACCTACTCCTGTCCCCTGGGCCGCTACCCATCCCCAGCATCACGGCTGTGCAAGAGCAATGGACAGTGGCAGACCCTGAGATCCACCCAGCTCACAAAGGCGGTCTGCAAACGTGAGCTCTCTGTGGGCTTTGCTCAGGGTGGGGCTGAACCTGACTACATGGTGTGCCAGGGGTGGCCAAGCTGTTTTTCCATAGGGCTTTTCAAAATATTGAGAAAATGTCCATTGTCCATAGCAAGGCATTGGAGAAAGGCCTTAATGGAAATTTAAAAAAATACACGGGGTGGTATTTTTTTTTAACATTTAACAATTGACTGCAGAATACTGACCATTCAGAATGGGTGCTGGAGTCTCCCGTCATGCCAAATGTTACCCTTTAGTGTCCATTCAGGGGGTATTTGAGGACCTCAGGGGAGAGGTTGAGGTGTCCATGGCCCTCAGGGTGCTGAGAGATGTGGTTATTTATCAGTCTAATAGGTTGAACAGTGTGAAATTGCCAATATTCGACCAATTCCACAAGCAGTGATTGCCACAAGCAGCAACCCAATATTTTGACAATCAGTTGGCGACTCCCATGCATCCACGCCAAACCTTACCATACCAGGTGTTTTCCATCCATCCGTGTAGTCTCATCCCCTTCTCTCCCTCCAGATGTTCGCTGTCCAGCTCCTGTTTCCTTTGAGAATGGTATGTTCACCCCGAGGCTGGGGTCCCACCCTGTGGGTGGCAACCTGAGCTTCCAGTGTGAGGATGGCTTCACCTTGCGGGGCTCGGCTGTGCGGCAGTGTCGCCCTAATGGCATGTGGGATGGGGAGACGGCCGTGTGTGACAATGGTGGTGAGTGCCCTGCCCTCATAGCTGCATGGGGCGGGGGTCACCCGGGAACCTTGGACCCAGATGTGTGCTCATGGGGCCTGTGTGGGGACAGGGGCCTGGTGTTCTGATGCCAAAATAATATTCCTGGATTTTGGTAAGTTGAGGTCTACAGGTCCCACATCACCGACCTACAGGAGCTGGCCGAGGCAGTTGGTGCTAAGTTTCAGGTCCAACGTAAGGCCTCCACACAGTCTGTCTAGCTTTTCCCAATGCCTCAAAGCAAGATTGGTATTCAGGCCCAGTGGGCTATTGGACTGACAACGTCCTGAGAGAGCTCCTAGTGCTGTGCTGAATTCAGTGCCTTGCCTCTGGAGCCAGTTCGGGTCCAACCTGGGTCGGACTTGGATAGCTTTTGGGCAGGCTCTTTAAGCTCTCTATGCCTCGATTTTCACATCTCAAATAGAGATGGTAAGACTGGCCACGATATTAGGGCTTCTCTGTGGATTAAATGAGTTGACATTAATAAGCACCTAGAGGAGTCCCTGGAGTTTAGTAAATGACACATATGCTGTTGTCATAGTTATTACTGCTCCTGTCAATGGTAAGGAGCTCTGCTTGATAGGACATGGGTTTCTAGGATTCTCTGGGTTTGGGGAGCTTCCGGAATGATAGTTCTAAGCACAGAAGACAGAAGACACAGAGTCCATGAGATGGTAGGACCATCCCGTCACCCAGTGGCCCAGCCATTGGGTCCTTATGCATATTCATGACTGTTTGCCAAATAGCTGGCTTCCTTTACTCAGCATTCTTTTTTTTTTAAAAAGCTTTTATTTTATTCATGGGAGACAAGACACACAGATAGAGAGAGAGAGAGAGAGAGAGAGAGAGAGGCAGAGACACAGGCAGAGGGAAAAGCAGGCTCCATGCAGGGAGTCCGACGTGGGACTCGATCCTGGGACTCCAGGATCATGCCCTGGGCTGAAGGCAGGCGCTAAACCACTGAGCCACCCAGGCGTCCCATTTACTCAGCATTCTGCCTGTGAGATTTATCTGCGTGGTCCCGTGTAGGAGCAGTTTGTTGTTTAATTTTTAAAAAGATTTATTTATTTATTTTAAAAAGAGAGAGGAGTGGGGAGGGGCAGAGAGAATCTGAGGCAGACTCAGCTCTCTGTGCTGGGCACGGAGCCCGATGTAGGGCTTGGTCCCACCACCTGAGATCACCACATGAGCTGAAACCAAGAGTCGGATGCTCAACCAACTACGTCACCCAGGTGCTCCTGTTATTTTTTATTACTGTGTAGTTTTATTATACAAATAGGTTACAATTTATTTATGTGTTCTCCTCTTGGTGGGCACTTGGGTTCTTTCCAGTTTGAAGCTATTATGAGTAAAGCCCTATGAACATCCTTTTATGGAACTTGTTGGTGCACCTATGAATTTGCTTCTCTTGAGCATGTTGTCTTGGAAGGGAATTATTGGGTCACAGGTTGACATACATATTTTATTTTATTTTATTTTATTTTATTATTTCATTTATTTTTTTAGAGAGTGAGAGCATGAGGGGGAGGGGCAGAGGAAGAGGAAGAGAGAATCTTTTTTTTTATAAAGATTTTATTTATTTATTCATGAGACACAGAAAGAGAGAGGCAGAGACACAGGCAGAGGGAGAAGCAGGCTCCGTGCAAGGAGCCTGATGTGGGACTCGATCCTGAATCCTAGGATCACACTTGAGCCGAAGGCAGACGCTCAACCGCTGAGCCCCCCAGGCATCCCAGTGTTTCAGCGTTCTGGCTGCTCACATCCTCTCTGACACTTGGAATGAGCCATATTTTCAGTTTTAGCCATCCTGGTGGGTGTGTAGTGATGCCTCCTGTGGTTTATGAAGTGCAAATATTATTTGTGGCGGCAGAGGGCTCCTGGGTCAGCACCTTCCGTGGGCTCTGGGATGGGCTTTCCTTGGGAAGCACGGTGGTGGTGTCTCCCAAGGGGGAGGCCAGATGGCCTGCAGAGGCTCCACGGGCCTGGGGAGGAGGAAGAGCTAGAGGGACAGGGTGGGTAGGGGTGTCCCGCTCACTGCCATCTTTGTGTGTTCACTCCCAGCTGGCCACTGCCCCAACCCGGGCATCCCGGTGGGCGCCGTGCGGATGGGGTCCCGCTTCGGCCTTGGGGATAAAGTCAGCTACCGCTGCTCCTCAAATCTGGTGTTGACGGGGTCTGCGGAGCGGGAGTGTCAGAGCGATGGGGTCTGGAGTGGGACGGAGCCCATATGCCGCCGTGAGTAGCCAGCCGCCTTGACCCTCCAGGGACTCCCGGGCACCCCACCCCTGACCCTGGCCGACCCCAGTGTCTATTCCCACAGAGACCTACTCTTACGACTTTCCTGAGGATGTGGCTCCCGCCCTGGGCGCTTCGTTGTCCCACCTGCTTGGAGCCACCAACCCCACCCAAAAGAAAAGGGGTAAATGCTTGAAGTAGGGGCAGCAGGGTGCTGGGCCTGGGATGGCGAGGAGCAGACTCTGCAGAGGATGCTGGGGCTTTGGCAAGGCTCAGTGGGGCTGAGCTGCTTGGAGGGGGGGCAGGGAGGCCTACCCCTGGCAAGAGGGAAGGGGTATGGGGAAGGCAAGAGGAAGATGCGAATTTGCCCCTTCTATGTTTCTCCCAGAGAACCTGGGCCGTAAAATCCAAATCCAGCGTTCTGGTCACCTGAACCTCTACCTGCTCCTGGATGCCTCTCAGAGTGTGAAGGAAGAAGACTTTCACGTCTTCAAGGAGAGCGCCATTCTCATGGTGGACAGGGTCAGGGAATAGGGGCCTGTGCACAGGAGGCCCTTCCTACTCTCGCTGTCTCTCTCTGGTTCCCTCCCTTCCTTAGAACTGCACTCACAGCCCACCTCCTCCAAAAAGTCCTCCCAGATTAAGTGCATGCCATGCAGGAATCATGGATTCCATTTATAAGATCCCATTTTTCATCCCACAAACAGTCCTGGGGCACCTTGTATGTGTCAGGTACCATGTTGGGTGCTGGGTGCTGGGGCACACCAAAGATGAACAGGCCGAGGTCCTGTTTCCCAGGCACCCATCATCTAGAGCGGTGGTCTCCACAGGAGGATATACAAAATGATCCACTAGGGTGTGACAGATTACTACTGGTATCCTTATTGAATAGTTTTAAGTTAAATTAAATCAACAAATTAATATTTAATACTTTCCATTAAAAATTCTAATTTTTTGTGTTTAAAAGGTGTATAATACATTTGAATAGCGATGCACCTTATAAATAGGAGTTTAGTTTTATAAATACATATACCTCCATGTGTTTTTACTAATGACATGCATGAACAGGAGAGTTTGGAAGTCACTAGTTTAGATTCCTTGCCAGCGCTTTGCTCAGTAATTACACTTTTCACAATAGTTTATGTAGATATATGTGTTTTTCTTCTCAGTTACATTTTAAAGAAGGCAATTTTTAGGCTCCTTGAAGTCTCTCCTAAGACTAACAGTAACCACTAAGCCGTGAGGCTGCAAAACACGCCAGCAAGAGATGTGCCTCAGATTCGCGTGGACAGGTTCAAATTTGACCTCCGCCTCGCACAACAGGCCTCAGTGTCCTCATCTATAAAACAGGGGCCATCTCGCCCCCTCACAGAATTGATGTGGGGATACAATGAGGAGCGAGGGAGCCTATCAAACAGAGTGCCTGGTTAACAAACGTCAGTTTCCTGGCTCCCTGCGAGCAGCAGTCTCTTAGTGACTACTGGTGGCCCTGACCTCTGTAAGTCTTGGCCCAGGCTCTCTGCCTCCTCCGGGACCCTTGGTTTGCTCTCTTATTCTCTCTCCTTTGGTTTCAGGGCCTCTAATGCTGCCTCTCACTTGCCCTTCTCAGATCTTCAGCTTTGAGATCAATGTTAGTGTCGCCATCATCACCTTTGCATCCAAGCCCAAAATCATCATGTCTGTTCTGAATGACAACTCCCGGGATGCGACTGAAGTGATCAACAGCCTGAACAAGGTCAACTATAAAGGTATGGGTGTCATCAAATGAAGGCGATGAGGCAGGGGTCAAGGGACAATGAGCTCCCTGTGCCTGCAGAGATTTTGGACAAGTTAGAGAGAGAGAGCGAGTCCTTTGGTGGCATTCTAGTCCCAAGACTCTGGAACTCATGTTCCTCTGGGGGAGGTGGCTTCCAATTCAGGTTCATGTCAGGGGAATCCCAGCTCCCACCAGCTCATGGCTTACTCTAAAATGCTACCCACCCAAATGCATTGTGCTGGTCTTTGGTTCTCTCCTGATGCCAGAACCATGTGGCTTTCTTGACTTAACACCGTAGTCTCTCCATGCCATTGTCAAGCTGCCTGGGTGATAGCTAGCAGGTGGCTGTAACAATTTCTTTGGGAACCCCATCTTTGAATCTTGAGGCTTTAGAGTGGCCTTCAGTGGGCATTACTTCTTTTTTGTTTAAAGGGTATATTTGTTAATTAGACAGAGACAGAGGGAGGGGGCGGAGGAACAGAGGGAGAGGGAAAGAGAGAATCCCAAGCAGACTACTTGCTGAGCATGCAGCCCAATGCAGGGCTCTATCCCATGAGATCACGACCTGAGCTGAAACCAAGAGTCAGACGCTCAACCACCTTAGCCACCCAGGCAACGCTGCAGTGAACATTTCTAAAGGAAAAGACTTTTATTTATTTATTTATTTTTTTGGAAAAGACTTTTAATGTTTGAACAGGCAATGATGCCAAATCTCTATCTGGATAGAGAAGGTCTGGATTTATCAAGCCAGTTGATAAATGTATTTCCAATGGTTGGGAGAATAGGGTAATTCCTTTCTCCTAGGTGGTAGGTGGGGCATTTCTAGAGAATCCTTCCTCTTCACATATTCCAGACCATGAGAATGGAACCGGGACAAACACCTATGCAGCTTTAAATAGTGTCCATATCATGATGAATAACCAGATGGATCGCCTCGGAATGAAGACGGCGGCCTGGCAGGAAATCCGACACGCCATCATCCTTCTGACAGATGGTGGGTATCGTTGCCTCTGCAAGTGAGTCTGGTACAGTGGAAGGACCACCAGTGTAGGGTCGGAAGACCTGCATGTTGATTCTCCCTCTGCCACTCTGGGCCTCAGTTTCTCATTTGTAAAGTCGAGATAGTGTTGATGATGTCAATGGGATAACAACAACGATAATGATGATCATAACCACCCTCCTTCCCTGACACAATTTTTATGGAGAGCAACCGAGATAGTTTGTGTAGAAGTGCTTTGTAATTACATATATCAGTTATGGTTACTACCGCAAGGTTGCCTAGAGTCAGCTAGATGGGGAGGCATGGCTTTGGGGCAGGGATGTCAAGGCGCACGGATGGAAGGGTGGACGTGGAGTGGAGCCGGGCTATGTCATTTATTTCTCGATTGTGTCCAAATTACATAGCCCCTCAGAACTTGGTTTTCTTGCCTATAAAATGAGGATACCCACACTACCTGAGGTTTCATGAGAATTAAAAGAGATAAAGTTTATGAAGCTCCTGGCCCGGTGCCTGGAATGTCGAGAATTTCGCCAAATAACATATCTTGAAACTCACGTGGGAAGCGATAAATGTTAAGGTTCCCAGCTGGATGCCTGCCCACTCCTCCAGAGCGGAGGAGAGTCCAGATATATTCCCCAGATGGACAATTCTTTTCCCTCCATTCTAGGAAAGTCTAACATGGGTGGCTCTCCCAAGCTGGCTGTTGACAATATCAAAGAGATCTTGAACATCAACCAGCAGAGGAGCGACTATCTGGGTGAGCCTCTCCCTCCCCCACCCCCAGATGTGCTGCCCCTGCGGTGGGTGCAGGCTGGAGTGGGCAGCTTGCCTTCATTTCCAGCGAGACCCCAGGCTGTGTCGTTCTGTGTGAAGGCAGCTGAGTCATGCTCCAGTCTGGTGTCAAACTGCCTGTGGTTGCAGCCTTGGTTTCTTTTGTTGGCTGTGGCCGGGGCTGGTTTCTGCCTTTGCTACAGGGGACGGTGCTAGGACCCACCTCAGAGGCCCATAGGGGCAAATACTCAGATATCTCCTGGTGCAGAGGAACAGTGTATGGGAACAGTGTATGTGAGCGGCTGCTGCCATCATGGCCTTGAAACTCCAGGGAGGAAGGGCCTGGACTCTTCTTGTAGGGACCGTATGGATAACCAACTAAGGCTTTGGCAGTTGCCTCCTCTAAAGGAACAATTCCTCGGGGTTCAGACTAAATGCAAATAGCATTGATCTTTGACCAGAAAAGAATTTTAGAGAAAAGTGCTCTGTGTAAGTAAGGACAGTTGCTCTTGAACCTCCAAGTTTCACTTTCCCCTTGGGTCTTCTCTTCATGGCCCCAACTCCACCCGCCCCTCAGGAGCAAGTGGATTCCTTTTTAAGACTCTGGCCTAGGGAAAGGGAAGGCCAAGCTCTCGGCGCTAACTCCTTAGCATCACTGGGCTAGGGTTAAAACACCATTTTAGAACACCTTATGAAAAAAAGCAGGTACTAAAGGGACATAGTCATAGAAAACATGCAGAACCTAATTGTCCAACTCCCACTGTGACTGCTTCTGGCCTGCCGGGGGCAACACTGCCACCTGAGGAAAAGCATTGTCTGCCCCCCATCTGCCTGAGCATCTCACTCTTTGCACACCACTCAGGGTCCTCCAGGAGCCGGAAGGGGCCACGAGGGGTGCAAAGCACAGGAGAAGCCCGGACGCTGCGGCCATCCCGGGCAGTTCTGACTGCTACCTGTTCTCTCTTGGAGGCAGGATGTGAATGGTCACGTGGGCCCAGGTTCCCCGGTGGGAAGAGATGGCTCCAGACCCCCCTCTCGGAGCCTGTACCTTACAGAGGAACCAGATCTGAAGTTTTGCCTCCATGCTCACTCATAGGCTCTTTATTCAATCATAAATGTCCTTAAGTACATTTGGAAGTCTCTCCTGGGCATCATTCTAAGGATATGGCTGTGCAGAAAATGAACAAAATGCCTCTCTCTGGGGTTGTCATTATGGAAGGGCATTGCATTAGTCTCCTAGGGACACTGCCACAGATCATACAATCTAGGGTGATTTAAAACCACAGAAACTTATGGTTTCACATTCCGGAGGCTAGAAATCCAAGATCAAGGTATCAGCAAAGACCCTATTTCCAAATAGGGTCACCCTCACAGGTCCTGGGGGTGAGGACTTGAACATATCCTTTTGAAGGCACAGTTGTACCCACTTTGGGCATGAAACAAGATAAATAAGGACCCCATATGGTGTGGTGGATGGTGCCCTGGGACAAGGTAAAAAATGAAACAGAAAGGAAACAGAATTGGCCAAGGCATAGCAGTTTTAGACAAGGATCCCAGGCAAGGCCTCACTGAGATAGTAGCATTTGAGTCAAGATTTGAAAAGGTGGGACACCTGGGTAGCTCAGTGGTTGAGTGTCTGCCTTCGGCTCAGGGTGTGATCCTGGGGTTCTGGGATTGAGTCCCACATCGGGCTCCCTGCATGGAGCCTGCTTCTCCCTCTGCCTGTGTCTCTCATGAAGAAATAAATAAAATCTTTTAAAAAAAAAAAGACTTGAAAAGTTAAGAAAGGGAGCCGTGTGGGCAGTCTGGGCAAGAGTCAACCAGGCAGAAGACCGCGTGTGCGAAAGGCCTGGGGTGGGAGCATGCCTGCAAATTTGAGGAACTTCAAGGAGGTTATATGGCAGGGAGTGAAGGGTGAAGAGTGTCGGGAATTGAGGCCAGACAGGTAGTAGGGGTTGGGGTCCAGCTCATTTAGGGCTTTGTAGGACCCAGTGAGTTCCAAATGATAATTCCCTGTCTCGCAGGGTAGCTCCTCAGCCACAAGATTCTGGTGATTTCCTTCTCCCCATCAGACATCTATGCCATTGGGGTGGGCAAGCTGGATGTGGACTGGAGAGAACTGAATGAACTGGGATCGAAGAAGGATGGTGAGAGACATGCCTTCATTCTGCAAGACACAGAGGCTCTGTACCAGGTCTTTGAGCACATGCTGGGTGAGTGAGCTTTGCCCTCTTCACAATGGAGCCGGCTAGGGGTCCAGGCTGGGAACCTACTCATGGTGCTCCTCACAAACCTCTTTCCCCCTCTGCTCCCACACCCGCAGATATTTCCCAGCTCACAGACACCATCTGCGGGGTAGGGAACATGTCAGCCAATGCCTCCGTCCAGGAAAGGACACCGTGGCATGTTACTATTAAGGTATCGGAAAGGAGGGATGGGACTTGGGTCCCAGAAGTAGAAGAGGAAATGGGCCAGAGACATAGCAGTCCCCCCAAAACACCTGTTTGCCTGCAGCCTAGGAGCCAGGAGACCTGCCGGGGGGCCCTCATCTCAGACCAGTGGGTGCTGACGGCTGCTCACTGCTTCCGCCAAGCTGAGAACAGCTCTCTGTGGAGGGTCACTGTAGGTAAGGGGGGGGTCACTGTGGGTAAGGCAGGGTCCACACTAGGTTCCTGACCCTGTGGCCGGAGCTCTCACCAGCAGTCCCAGCCTCTGGCCTCCCTGGAAGCCCTGGCCCTGCCTAATCTGCTTATTTTTCCCAGGGGATCCTAACTCCCAGTGGGGCAAAGAGTTCACTATTGAGAAGGCAGTGATCTCCTCGGAGTTTGATGTCTTTGCCAAGAAGAATCAGGGGATCCTCGAGTTCTATGGTGATGACATTGCCCTATTGAAGCTGGCCCAGAAAGTGAAGATGTCCACCCATGCCAGGTGCTAGAGTCTGGGATGAGAGGGCGTCCTCTGGGGGAGAGTGCTCTGGGAAGTCCCACAGGAGGGGACACCAAGGATGGGCTCCTGTGACTCTTGTCTGTCTCCCCAGGCCCATTTGCCTTCCCTGCACGGTGGCGGCCAACCTGGCTCTGCGGAGACCCCCAGGCAGCACCTGCCGAGACCATGGTGAGTGCTGGGCCTCAGGTGCGTGAAGACTCCAGTCTGGAGTCTGGATGCTGCATAAAGGGACCAGCATCACATCCCTCTCTCCTTAACTGCAGAAAGTGAACTTCTGAACAAGCTGAGCATTCCTGCTCATTTTGTGGCCTTGAACGGGGACAAACTGAACATTAACCTCAAGACAGGGACAGAGGTGAGGATCTCAGGTCTGGGATGCTGTGAGGGGATGGGACCCCTGTGGCAGCTCCCCAAAGTCTTTGTCCCTTCCTCCTCCAGCTCTGGCAGCCTTCTCCCTCTGACCCCATGCCACCTCCCCTCCAGGGCTAGCAACTGCAGGTAGCCCCTGGGACTGCTCATTCCATCCCTCTGTCCCACTCTGCCCCTGCTGCAGTGGACAAGCTGTATTGAGGCCGTTTCCCAAGACAAAGCTACATTCCCCAACTTGAAGGATGTCCGAGAGGTGGTGACAGACCAGTTCCTATGCAGTGGGACAGGGAAGGATGACAATCCCTGCAAGGGTAAGTCCCTCCCACCCCCCACCCCCTCCCTGAGCCTGGATGGCTGAGGGAGAGACCACCGCAGTCCCTGCGGCCAGCACGCATGCCAAGACAGTGGTGCACTGCCCTGACGACAGGGGCAGGGTGAGAGTCAGAATGACAATTTCTTGTCCCTCCTTCTGGCAGGAGAATCTGGGGGAGCAGTTTTCCTTGAGCGGAGACACAGGTTTTTTCAGGTGAGGAGAGAAGGGGGATACTCACAGGAATGGGGTTACAAGATCATGGCCTTGCAGGGAGACGAGGGCGGCCTCTGAAGGAACTGGGGAGGTTGAGGCTTGGAGCTGAGGCTGTGACAGCCTCCCACCCCATTCTCTCCCTCTTCCAGGTGGGCCTGGTGAGTTGGGGTCTCTACAGCCCCTGTAGCAAGAGTAATAAAAACTCACGCCAGAGGCCCCCCAAGGGCAAGGAACCACGAGATTTTCACATCAACCTCTTTCGCCTGCAGCCCTGGCTGCGGCAGCACCTGGAGGATATCCTGAACTTCTTACCCCTCTAATTGTGGCCACCCATCCCCTCTGTTGTCCTGCCAGCATCTGCCATCTGTCTTGTCTCGCACCCTTGAACTCAGACCCATGACCCACCTGTGCTCCCAGCAACCCCGGAGAAGCACATTCAGGCTGGGGAATCCCCAGGGGCGCACCCTCTGCTTTCCTTGACTCACTCTCCTTTCACTCATGTGGAATTACCCAGTTATGAAATTAATAAAAATCGACAATGTCCTCATCTGTCTGTGCCTCTACCTGGGGGGTGGCTGGGGGCGGGGGGAGGGGAGAGCGGAGGAAGGCCAGAATGATTCCAGGAACTGCAGGGAGGCAGGTCACGGACCCTGGCGCACAAACAGTGGCTGGACTCTGCTCTGTGACAGAGTGGACAGGGAGTGAGCCAGCCTTTATTTTTGGTCCCTAAGGGGGTGGTCTGGGCTTGTGGGGGGAGGAACTGGGGCTGAGAGGTGGTGTTGAAGGTGTCAGTCCAGGTTCACCGCAGCAAAGGGCAGGGCTTAGGCAGTTTCTATTTCCTTGACTGGCAGCTCTGCGGGGTGGGGGTGGAGGGCTCCCTCTTGGACATTCCGGAAAGTGGTGTGGGTCAGGTGGGCGGGGTGAGCCGCCAGTGCCAGAACAGATTGCATAAAGGGCCGGAGGTGGTGGGGGGGCAGGGGAAGAGACAGCAACCAGACTCAGGTCTGAAGTTTCGGCTTGGACGCTGAGCGAAGCAGACAGGCAGCACCAGCCGGCATAGACCACCCTGTCCCCACCCCCAGTCTCTCTCCTGCTCCCATCGCCATGGGGAGCACTCTCATGCCTCAACTCTGCCTTATATCCTTGGTGCTGGGTCTCTTGTCTGGAGGTAAGAGAGGGTCACCACTCCCCCTTCCCGCTGCCCCCAGCTTCCTTCCTTGGCCTTGTGAGGCTGGGCTTCAACAGCCTTTCTCTTCAGGTGGGAGTGCCACGCCATTGTCTGAGGCCAGGCCCCAAGGCCCCTGCCCTCTGGAGGGAGTACAGATCAAAGGTGGCTCCTTCAGACTGCTCAAGGAGGGCCAGGCGCTGGAGTACCTGTGTCCTTCTGGCTTCTACCCATACCCTGTGCAGGCTCGCACCTGCAGATCCACGGGGTCCTGGAGCACCCTGCAGACCCAAGACAAAATGGTTGTCAAGAAGGCAGAATGCAGAGGTTGGAGGGCAGTGAGGGTGGGCACGGGGTGATGCAGGGATGGAGCAGGTGGTGGCCGAGGCCCAGGCTAGGACGCTGTGAGAGTTGGGTGGAGACCAAGCAGGTTGAGGGGTGAGGATGCTGAGCAAGTGCAGCAGCTGTCGAGGACTGAAGGGAGGAGGGTGGAAGAAGGGAGCGAATCTTCATTGAGCATTTATCCTGTGCCAGGCAGCCCCGGCAGTGAAAGGAACACTGAGAAAGGGGGAGCGTGGAGAAGCAGGACTCATCATGGGTCAAGGGTAGACGTGGTTTCTGAGGGACCAGAAAGGCCCTATGTCTTTGTGATAGGGTCCCTGAGGCCCGGAGGGAGACTCTCAAGAGCAGCCCTAACTTCTCAGTAACTTCTGCTTGTCCTCCCCCCTCCCCCAAAGCAATTCGGTGCCCAAGACCACAGGAGTTTGAGAATGGGGACTACTGGCCCCGGGCGTCCTACTACAATGTGAGTGATGAGATCTCTTTCCGCTGCTATGATGGTTTTACTCTCCGGGGCTCCGCTAACCGCACCTGCCAGGCCACCGGTCGCTGGGACGGACAGACGGCCATCTGTGATGATGGAGGTGAGCAGCATCCCCTCCCCCGTCGACAGGATCCTCTCCCTCCTGAGGGGCCGTGTTCCAGCCTGAGGAACGGGCGTCACAACTCCTGTGCTCTCCTGTGCCATCCGGGCTTCAGGCTTTGGCTCTCACCTCCGCATCTCGTGCTTCTGTAGCGGGCTACTGCCCCAACCCGGGCATCCCCATTGGCACAAGGAAGGTGGGCATCAACTACCGCCTTGAAGACAGAGTCACCTACTACTGCAACCGGGGCCTCACCCTGCGTGGCTCCCAGCAGCGGACATGCCAGGAAGGCGGCTCTTGGAGTGGAACCGAGCCTTCCTGCCAAGGTGATGCTCGCCACATGCCCTCAGGTTCAGATCCCGCTCGTTCATCCTCCTGTCCCTACCCCCGAGCCCTGTCTTCTCCCTGTAGTGCACCCCAGCTCCTCCCCTCGCTTCACCTGCCCCTAGAACGTCCTCACAGCGGAGCCCTTCCTGCCCCGAAACCCACCTACTGTCCCGTCCCTGTCCATGTGTCTCTGGCCCTCCCCCTACCCTGACACGTGACCTGCTTTCTGCCCTCCCCAGACTCCTTTATGTATGACACCCCTGAAGAGGTAGCCGAAGCCTTCCTGTCGTCCCTGACTGAGACCATAGAGGGCGTGGATGCTGAGGATGGCCACATCCCAGGTTTGAGTGCAGACCACGGAGGGAGGCAGGGAACTGGGGGAGGACGAAGAGGCAGGAGGACCCTGCGTGCCAGAGCCTGAGTTTTTCTGGTGGCACCCAGGGGAGCAGCAAAAGAGGAAGATTGTCCTGGACCCGTCGGGCTCCATGAACATCTACCTGGTGCTGGACGGATCAGACAGCATCGGGGCTGGCAACTTCACGAGAGCCAAGAACTGTCTCCGGGACTTCATTGAGAAGGTGGGGCCCCTGCCAGAACTAGTTCCCTGGTGTCCCCAGCCCCTCTGGGCTGCAGAACCTCAGAAAACCTCTGGTCCTATACTGTCCTTCCTCCTTTTTACTTGAAGTAGTTTCTTGACCTTTCACCCATCACCCAGGCAAACCTCAGGGTGACCCATGAGCCTTTGGGTTTCTGAGGAAAACCTTCCCTGTCCCAGAGAAGCTGCTGACCTCTCCCAACCCTAGTCTTCTTTCAACGCCATGACCCTTTGCTCCCCTAACCCACAGGTGGCAAGTTATGGGGTGAAGCCAAAATATGGTCTAGTGACATATGCTACAAACCCCAAAGTCTGGGTCCGAGTGAGGGACAAAAACAGCAGCGATGCCGACTGGGTCACAAAGATACTCAACCAAGTCAACTATGAAGGTCAGAGGTCAGGGAAGGGACTGGTGGAGGAGGGGTCACTTTGGAATCAGAGAAGTCAAAAGACTCAGGGTGGTTGTGGGGAGACCATGTGAGAAATCAGGGAAGACCACTTTGCAGTCTGGGGCTAGACGGCGGACTTGTTGGTGAATATGGGTCACGGGGGACCTATCGGGGGCTGAGGAGGTCACTTTTGTGGCCAAAGGAAAGCCAGTGGGGTGGCAACTCAAGAACCTGAGAGATGTGGGATTTCAGTTGTTGGCGGGCCTCTCAAGGTCATGGATGACTTAGCCAACCAGGTAAGGTGACCTCTTCCCTTTCCCCAGATCACATGTTGAAGTCCGGGACCAATACCAAGAAGGCCCTGGAGGCAGTATACAGCATGATGAACTGGCCAGGGGAGACCCCCCCAGCAGACTGGAACCGCACCCGCCATGTTATCATCCTTATGACTGATGGTCAGAAGGAACTCTTCTCCTGCCCGATTCCCCAGCCTTTCATATGAGTGGGGGACTGTTCGGTCCACGTGCAACACCAGACTGTCACATGGTTGGGGCTCTGAGTACTGCTCAGGGCCCCAAGCATGCTGATCTCTCCTGTGACCCTTTACAGAGGAAAGGAGGAATCCTTAAGCTTCTGTTGGGATCTGTCACTTCCATCCCCTCAATCTGCTTCCCCAGCCATGTGTCATGACTTCTGGCCAATCTTCCTCGACCCCCTTCTTTACTTGCTCCCCACCTTCACAGGCCCTGTTTCTTCTACAGGCTTGTACAACATGGGCGGGGACCCGGTCTCTGTCATTCACAATATCCGGAACTTCCTGGACATTGGGAGGGATCACAAAAACCCACGGGAGGATTATCTGGGTGAGTTTTATTGCCCAGGAGCCAGTCCCTTACTTTCTCAGCTCTTGCTCCCGGGGCCTGGGCACTCACTCTCCCCATTTCTCCCACAGATGTCTATGTGTTTGGGGTTGGGCCTCTGGTGAACCAAGAGAACATCAATGCTTTGGCTTCCAAGAAGGATAAGGAACAGCACGTATTCAAAGTCAAGGACATGGAAAACCTGGAAGACGTTTTCATCCAAATGCTTGGTAGGAAAAGATCAGGATGTTATAAAGAGGTCAGGTACCTCCCCAGGTCCCCCAAGGTCACTCATACTTCCTCTCCTCCTGAAGTCCTGTCAGTATGGAAGGACTTTCTCACTGCTCCTTATGTCATATTCTGGTTTCCTGGCACTATCTGCTTCCCGATCTTAGAATCACCAAGCTCTGAACGACATCAGAGAGAGCTTTCTTAAATTCCTCATTTTACACACGTGGCAAGTGAGGCTGAGAACAACCTGGGGACAGCAAGCTAGCAAGTTTGGCCTGCCAATCACCACGTCTCCCATCTCTTACTTTCAAGATCTTTTCACTATTGCCACAGTTCCTTGTCCTCAGTGAAAGGAAACAAACACCCCTGTCTTTCCTTTCCTTACAGGCTTCTGCTCCTCACAAACATGTAGATGTCCCTCCCCTTTTAAAAGGCTGCTGCCATGTGGAAATGAAGCACCCTACCTTTCAGCATGTAGTCAGAAATTTTAAAGTCATTTTCCTTTCTTGTTAGATGAAACCCGGACTCTGGGGCTCTGTGGAATGGTTTGGGAGCACAAGAAAGGCACTGATTACCACAAGCAGCCATGGCATGCCAAAATCTCCATCACTGTAAGCAAGGCGTCCTGGTGCCAGGGACCTGTGGGAGGCAAAGTCAGGGTGGAATGGGGGCAGGGGAAGGGCAAAATGTTTATACTAGATTGTGGTTTGGTAAGCTGAGCCTTCCCCTCTGTCGTTCTGTTCCCAGCGCCCTTCAAAGGGACACGAAACCTGTATGGGGGCTGTGGTGTCTGAGTACTTTGTGTTGACAGCAGCACACTGTTTCACAGAGAATGATCAGAAACACTCAATCAAGGTCAGCGTGGGTAAGGAAGCAGCCGATCAATCCTGAGCTTCAGCTGTGCAGGAACCCATGCTCCCACCCGTCCTCACAGCAGCCCATTATCTTGCACACTGGGCCACTTGGGAGTGGGGAAGACTTGGGAGTTAGGCACAATGTGGGACCAGATGTAGGAGGCTGCCCATGGAGAAGTGGGACGTCCCAACATAGCCA